GCCGGCTTTCTCCCAAGCATGAGCGAGGAACCGCCTTCTATTTTTTCTGACAGCTTCTCCAGGCTTGAGGCAGCTGTTTCTGTGGGAAGGGGCTTTCTTATTGTATGAGCCAAGATGCCTGTTGCTGTGTATGAAAAATAATATTCCTTACAACAGGTTTTTGAGGTGGGTATTGTCGCTGTTCCATGGGCAGGAAACAAACCAAGCGAGGTAACGAGTTTCACCTGGGTTCCGCTGTTAACGAGATGCAGCCTGCGTAGGTTTGAGACCAATCCTACTTGGGAGGTTTCTCCTTACGGACCACGGTACCATGTGTTTGTTATCTTTCTGGGTTAGCAGCAGGAATCTGTTCCCTTTTTAATTGTTACTCTGTTTCAAATGACATTGAGATTTGTCTCTAGAGTATTATCCCATTGAATTAGTACGATGAGGATACTGTGTGCCGTACTCAGTTGTAATAATTCTTTTCTCTGTGTGGTTAAGACACACAGCTTGATAGGGAATTAGGTTCGTTTGTGCCGGTTTTTAGTTTGCTTTTATGACTACATTTACGTATACACACATACACATTCCTTTCCCCACTGGCTGTTGCTAATACAAAAGACGGCATATACTATACGCAAGTTCTTCATCTTGCTTTTTTTCCCTTCACATTGTGTTCTAGAGATCACTCCCAATTTTGGAGAGCTTCCTCATTCTCTTTTTATCTGCACAGTAATTCATTGTGTAGCTGTATCTCATTAATCCTTTAATGATGAACATCTGGATGGGGGTCCCAATTTGGCTCTCCTTAGTAATAGTGCAAAACAACCCTGTGCATATATCACTGCATATTTTTGCAAGGTAGGATCCTAGAAGTGAGATTGATCAAAGGGTAAATACATACGTAATTTTGTAGATATTTACAAAATTTTCTCCATGGGGTTATGCCATTTTGTACTCTACCACCATCATATGAGAGAGAGTAGTATTGGGGTCTCTGGATGAAACTCAGGAGGTCATTGTTTCTGAAACTTGGTGCAGAATGTTAGGTGGATTTGTCCAGGGACAGGTCTAGACACTGGCAGTCTATCCCCTATAATTGCTCATGCCTGACATGTAATAGGTACTCAATATATATTTGTTGAATAATGAGTACATTTCATCAGATTCTCAGAGGAGTCTGGATTCCATAAGGGTAATTCGAAGGTGATCAGTTTTTTCAAAGCACCTTAAATAGAGTAGTTACTGCATTTCCTTCTCTCTCTCTCCCCCTCCCTCTCCCCCTCTCCCCTCTCCCCTCTCCC